CGCCAATGCAATGAGCGCGCGTGGCAGAATTGTTGTGGAACCCGGTGAGATAGAACAAGGATCGAATTTTGTGTATATGAAACACGAATGGGTCAAAACGTCAGTAAAATCAGCACGTTGATCTAAGACGGTATGATATCTTAATAATAAATATTTAAAATAAAAAATTGTTTGAGGAGAAGTCGTTATTTTAGGTGTGATTGTGTGAATATCCGATATCATCACATTTTAACTTAATATTAACTTATATTCTAAACTTTTCTTTTTACTTGTTAGCTCATTTAAAAAAAAATTTAAGAGGTATGTTCAAGTCTTTGGTATTGAAATTAAAAATGTCATCGTTTTTTACAATTAGCGACAAAACAATTTGAAAACTATTATGATTTTGATGAATTTTGTTCTTGTATTATGTTGTCAAGATTTTGAAATTACAAAAAAAGAGTCAAAATATTTTTAACATTGTACAGAAAATTACTAGAAAATGGAGAAATAAGTAGGTTGAAAATTTTAAACGTCTAAGATCGATCATATTTGAATTATAATATGTTTAATTACAGCAAAATTTTATAATCCCGATGTTGTTAAAAATTATTAGAACTAGTATTTGCATAAACATTATAGTTTATTTATAAGTTTTTTTAAGGTGATTAACCGACGAAGATGAGATACAAAAACTCTACTGTACAACCGATACATTCATATGTGATCAGAATCCAAAAAAAATATAATGTTAATATACCAAAAATTAAAAATTGTATAGCTATATTATAACGTCGGTATAATTCTGTATACAGAGTTACATTAAACAATTTTAAATTTTAATCATCGAGGAGGGGGTCCATCCATGGTTGAGTTTCGTATTCATTATACTGGTTCAAGTGTTATAACGGTTTACCTGTATATAATATATATTAAAATATTATAATGTTATGTACACGCTGCAGACTAGATTCAGTGACCAGTGACCTGCAGATGTACTTAATATTTTGTTTTTTTTTATTTTAGTCACCGTTGTATTCAATTTTCATGCTCACCAACTGTTTTGCTTAATAATATTATATATTTTAAAAAATGCCGATGTTTTGAAATGCTCTGTATAAGTAGGTACTTACTACAAATACCATATTGTTTGATACTTGGATTTTAAATCATCAAAATAGTGTTCCGTAATGATTTATTTACTTTTTTTTACAAATTAACACTACTATTTCATCGAAATCTACCACAAATTATTTTCAAAGTTAAAAAACTATGCACTATAGTACTGGGTACTATAATTAAATGTGTCAAAATTACACGTCTAACATTTTCTTTTTAACACCTTAGAGTTAAGATGGTAACCTTTTATAATGGTTATTTTTACATAATACAAAAAACTAATGCTATATTCTATTTAGTATGGGTATGAACAAGTATACGTCTTATACAAAGAGTAATAACTTAAAAACTACTTGTTCAAAGTTAAATTTAGGTAAACCAAAGAATACAAATAAAATCATCTGATTAAAAATTTTCAATTGAAAATAATTTTTCGTATAACTTTATAAATTAACAATGTAAGTATCTCAGTATAAAATGTTTACTTCTACGGAAAATTTTCAAACATCTGAATTTGAATAAATGCATAGGTAGGTAACATTATTAAAGGACAACCTATGGATGTTGTATGCTTGGTTAAATCGCATTGCATTGTAATATTTGTGACTATATAGGCTGTGTTCATTTTCCCTGCCGGAACTTTGTCAGCAAACCGATCGCCAGCATGTAGAAATCTCGAACGGGTATGAAGATAATAATTATAATTATAATAGTATTACGTACGTTGACAAGTACCCAAATTATTATTATATTCCGCCAGGTCGACCGAAATTTCGGATATGTCGTCGAACGAGCGTGTTTTTTGGTGGAAGAAGTAGTTATATATTATTATATATAGGGGACGATGCTCGCGCTCACGTTATGTATAAGCGGTTAATGAGATCAACACGACCGTGGGCCGTAGGGTCGGAAGTAGAGGAAGCAGAGGCAGCGGAGGTGGCAGTCGCGGATGTCTGAAGTAGACAATGATTTATGAACACACACACACACACACACACACACACACACACACACACACACTCGTATATATATATCATATAGTCGTAGCTGTCTCCGTCGTCGCGCCACTCAGTCTGTCCCAAACTTACGCCGTGTCAATACGCGTCGACGTTGATGGCGACACCACAATTTCGCACAAATCTAACCAAAAGATACTTTTCCTCGGGACATATATAGGTACGGCAAATGTATAATAATATATAACGTCACACGGTTTATTGTACGGTGCGCACACATTTTTTTCTATTTCGTTAGGTACCTATCACACACACACACATATATATATATATATATATACGCAGAAAAACAGCGTTCGTACATTGTCGATAAGATTATAAAAGACGTGATAACTTACGCCACGCCCGATTCATCGCTGCCGCTGACACGCTGCTGCGTAGGTAGACCGCATTATATTATTATACCTACCGACGAGAATCCGGTAAAATATATTATACCATTTCGTGTCGATATTTATACTAATCGCGAATGAAGAACCGTATATTTTGTCGAATAATATTATAATGCGAATGGGTATTATGTGCCCCGCATTTGCCAATAGTTTCGAATTGGCCAACTATATACACATCGAACTATCGAAGGGTTGCAGGACACGGTGTTCACCATAGCTGGTAGTTGGTACCGAGGTGACCTTCGCGTACTTATATAAGTGTAACAACCAAGTGCTGACTCGCTGAGACGAAACTGACTATAAGTCCACCACCATTGGATAAACATTGTTAGCATAATCACGAACGTGTGCATGGATACGTGTGCAATGGCCTGGATTTTCATCGAATGAGATACTTTTTAGTTTTTAAAATATTCAACAGGCCTGGATAGTTCAATATCAATTGCATAATGATATCTCAGCTTACATTTTATTATAAAAACTCGGTTTTGGAACGTATTTTAGTTAATTAATTACTTTTTGAAATGCACGACTTGATTCCGTTCCCAAATTTTAACGTTGCATTGGTGTTTTAATATGTAATAACAAGTTGCAGTGCAATGTATGTTCATAATATTAACTTATAAAATATCGTTTTATGGTTTAAAAATAATTGTCTACATAGGCACATAATATACGTTTATAAACTTATATTTAAACTTAACTGTTTACAATTACAAAATGTACAAATATTACTTTTTTAAACGAAACGTACAAGCAAATATTTTTTTCTAATTATTATGCATGAGTACATAAGTTAAAAATAATTTCATAAGCCACTATAGAATACAATCGTTTAAAATATTAATAGAATAATAATAACATCTGCGTTTTAGAAATTCATTAAACTATTTAAGTCATCTCGGCGGAAATGTGTTTATTAAATTTGAAATTGAATTGATATTTCCAACATTATTAATCGAAATGAACAATTATTTTTTTCATTATTTTTAAGTGACTTTGAATAAGAAATCCATATTTTTCAAAACTGAATATTTATAAAATTGATTGAATATTGATATATGACGTAAAATGCTTTGGTTCTACGATGATGGGTTTTTCCTTTTCATTTTTTTTTCCAGTTAGTTTCGTCAGTTTTTATTAAATAAGGAGTGCTCTTAAAGTTTCGAGCAGCCTTATCGGATGTTTTATCTTTGACTTTTTCATTTGTTTCCTTAAAAAAATTCTACACTGACGATTATTTGGTGTCCCATCTTTCTCAGCAGGCGATATAGATAAAAACCTTATGAAACAATACAAATAATTTATAATAAAAATATTTATAAATTATTCAAATTATATAGTCACGTACGATCACGAATGAAAATTTACTTTTTTGATTTGATGATAATGATTTTATTCTAATTTTCTTCTAAAACCCACTGTGGTGGAAATGCGGACCAAGGTTTCTTTTTCTATATTGCCCGTCGAGAGACGGTTTCAGTAAATTTCGGTCTAAAGTCATCTTGAGCGTAACGAATAATTTATGCAATCATTGCTGTGTTTTTAACTAAATCAATTTTTGTCAATTTAACAATATCTAACTAAAAAAAATAATAAACCTTAACTTGAAACGTTTATCAATTTATTAGTTTAGTATATAACAAATGTCATTAGGTACAATTATTTTAACAGTGACGTAGACAGGAATTAACATCGGGGGCTTATCATAATAATTACATAATATTGTAGGATTCATAAATGTATATAATAAATACATTTGTATACTTTCCATGTTGTCACATGAACTAATTGAACCCGTAACCCCCGTGGCTACTGTCCTGTATTTTATCTAATAAAATGTTATAATTGAACTGTTTATAATATATTTTTGAAACTAACTTTGTTCTTTTGATTCGTTTAAAATTGAATTGGAAAGTTATACATTATGAGTTATGATTAACGTATCAAAATCGACTAGCAGGAAGTGCTTCCATTAAACTTTTTCTTTTCTCTCTACACATATTATATAAAACTGATTGTGTTATAGGTATTTATAATTTAAGCAAATTGTCGAGTGAATAATTGGTATGAAAATATGGTCCTGTATACGCAATATAATAAAAGTACATAAATATATATATACAATATACTTTAAAATAAAACGTATACTATAAATCTGTGTAGCCTCTAAGAGTTAAAATATGTTTTCTGGGGAAAATAAATCGAATGAATTAGGCGATAAAGACGAATCGCTTTTTTTCACGATTACAAAATATATATTCATTGAAAATTACATTTCAATAGGTAGGTATTGTAATTGGTAGAACAAAGAAATGAATACATGTGAAAAGAAACATAAAGGTTATAAGCATACAGTACTGTTGCCGGTTTGGAATGAAATAAATGAATATCGAGGCATATTGTTTTTATTGCTCTGAAGTGTAAAATTCCACTAGGCGATTTTGAAAATAAATAAGTAGGTTCTAACCATAAACAATTTTATAGAACGTACCTTTTTGTTTTTCCCGATGTTTATGTCTGTACGCGAGTACAATACACGACGTATATTTTTTTTGCCAAACTGCGTTTGTTGCTATTGCCACGGGTTAACTATATGGGTAATAATTATGATAATATTGACACTATACACGACTCGCGGACGACACGGCGCGGCGTGTTGGTCGGCAGCGATACGACCAGCGTCGGCGATAACACGCGACTACCGGCACTGTGGTCTTCGGGACAACACAACACTAGAACAACTGTGTTTGCCGGGTGAACAGGTGCCTGGTGCCGGGCCGTTCAGTGAGAGGAAGAGTGACAGAGAGACACGGCCGGTGCTAACGCGCAACAAGTAACGTTTTCTAGGTTTTTTTTTTTCACGGTAGATGCTTCAAATTAATTATCGTTAGGCCACGGGGACGGCCAATTACTGTGTGTACCTCTACCTTGGCAATGGACTTTATTCGTAGGAGGAGGGGGGCAAGAGTGGGTACTGCTTCGGGAGAATTCGCTGCGCACACCGGGTCACGTGTTCGCGAAGACTGTAGGTTCGGGACCGGAAGGGGCAGGTGACTTTTTACGTTTGCGTGTTTCTTGGACTCGTAGAAAAAATATAATATTATGTAAAATGCCAAAACACAATATTATGTGGTGATATAACAATGTAATATCCGGATATCCGGTTGTGTGATCCGGTTTTGAGATGTCGTTACGTATTTTATCTCTGAATTATATTCCCACCAAATAGTCTTTTCTTGCTGTCGATTATAACCTGTTCAGTTTTAACTTATTTAATCATACTATAACGGTACTTTTTTTTTGAAACAAATGTTTAGGTATAACGAATTGTCTGTCAGGCCGTTTGCAACACAATCAGGATATACGCTTATTACTGTACCTACTACACAAGTCAAGTAGCAGTCATGCCTAAGTATGTCGTCTAAAAACACTGAATTAAATTTATAAACGGCAACCCTTATTTTAATATCCCCCTCCTCGAGTTCGTCATTATGTGAAAACCACTTATTATTTTATTACCACCATATTGGTACATATTGTGTGAACATTTATAATATGCTAAAATAATAGTTTTGAAGGTGTGGGAAAATAATCAACTCAGAAAAACAGTTCTTGCATCCATTTCAAAACTTGGAACGCTTCGGATCACTGTGTATTTGTACCCACGGCAGACGTTGATATTTTGAGGTGTGTCTTGGGACACACGGACGAGACTAACCGAATGACGCGTACCTATCATTGTTTATTGCAATTATTTATCATTGCAAAGTATCAAATCTCAAGTATAAATAATGATGTTGTGAACTCCTAATGCGCGACCGTCAAATGTAAGCAAACGTAAATAATTTATTATTGTTGAGTTTTTTATATTTTATTATTTGTATACAAAGGCAGTAGGCATATAATAATACTAAAAATAACAAACTACTTCAATAGTCCTTCACGTGGTAGTATAGTGAACATACTGATATTACAATATAGAATCGCAGCTCACTAGCTGGCACAGCTGTTACGTAGACGAGCGGCGCGTGACAACAGCAGTCTATAATAATACGTAGGTAACTCATAGTTAACTGATGTTTGGAAAGTCTTCACCTCGGACTGTTGATAGTACTGTATAATGATAGCAATTCGTAGGCTGCCGAATACTAGATGTAATTCGGCCACCTTGAACAGCGTCACGTTTGAAAATAACCAAATTTCACCGACTAAAAGTGAAACACTTTTTAAGTAATATACCTACAACCTACGTACTTACCTTAACATAAATATAGATCCTCTTTGTACATAATCGTTTTCATCTTATGCCATCCATACACGTTAAAATAATGGTATGATAATAAAGCATAAAAAATAATATCCATATGTAGGTATATTATATTGTTTTTTACATTTATTTTACAAGGTTAATCATGTCTAGCCATAACTCTATGATGCGTTTGTGTCACTAACGTTCAAGTGAATATTGTAAAATGAAGTAGAAGTTATGTGGTTGCACATTTTTATGTAATTTATATTTATTTTAAACTCTAAGTTTTATATTGTGTTTACTAGGTATTTATATTATATTGTTCGTGGCGATTCATTGTCAAATTGGTTCAATTATATTGACTAAACGTAGATATATACTGTGTTCATAAATAATAATATGAAATACGTAGAAATAATATTATTTATGATTTTCAACAAATGTGTTTGTATGTGTTCACTGTTATAAATCGTATTAAGTTGTACTTCCAGTGAAACAAACAATAAGATTTATGAAATTTGCATAACAAGCTTATTTAAAACAACTTGAATTAGTACAAAGTTCATGGTGGATTTAATTTGATAAAAATATTAGGTTATTAAAAGCTGTTTACTTAATACCATACATAATGCTGTTATAAGAAAATTAAAATGTACCTTAGTTGCCTACTAAAATATACGAACAATTTTGTATTTATTTTTTATTTCGTGAAATAATATTTACAATATGAGGTCATACTCCACAATAAGTAAATAAGATATTTTTTTTGAAAAACATATACGTGCAGTTGAACAATGATATAAAATGAAGAGGTTAGGAGAGACTATCCGTAGGAGAGACTATCCTGCAGTGATAGAACCCATTTGTTTTTATTTATTTTTGTTTTGTTTTTCTTAATAAATATTGTGTACCTATATCATTTATAGGTATCCAAATATTGTAACGTATGTCCATATGTGTATTAAGAATCTTATGTTTAAAAAAGTATTTCAAAAATATCATAGAAATTAAGATTAATCAATGGACAAGGCTAGACAATAAGATCGATTATTTATGAATGTCAAATGCGTGTAGTCAAAAACGAATGTAAATAATTACTCATGGAAAAGCTTTAAATGATATTCATTATAATATATATGTATTTATTTACAATGTTTTTTCCACTATTATTTATCAATAGCGAATATTTTATAGTGAATATATATCAATAGGTAATAAAATAATAATAATATGATATTACGCATTATAATATAGACATACTGTTGCCTAGTCCCATAACTCTGAAAATGTAATGTATATTTGAGGATCACGATTGCGTTTACTTGCCTTTTTAAGGTAAGTAAAGTAGGTAATTTGATGTTAAATTGTTCGTTTATTATACTTTTACGAATGTTTAAAAGACATAAAAAGTGAATGTACAAGAATGTATAAAGTATATTATAAATTATAATTATTTATAAAAAAAAATTACTAAAGAATTTGAAAATTTTTTAAAAATCTTGTACCGATACATATTTTGAATTCGTTATATTCGTTACAATCACAAATTATAATTTGTCTTGTAATTCCTACTTAGGTTTGACTTATTTGTTACGAAAATTAGATATTATGATCAAATTTAAACTTTAAACTGTTATAATAAAAATCAGACGAAAAGTTATTCAATGTTATTAAAAATAATTATATATGTCTATTTTCTATTATAATAATCATATGTACGATTTGTGTATGTAATATCAACAACTGGTTTAACATCACGTTATGCATACGCTATTGCTTACAATATACATATTATTAAACAGTATACGTGTATCAATCGACAATCAGTATACTATTATAATATTAATTTTACGTAGTTTGACGTCACAGAATTGGAAATGCATATTGAAATAAAAACACATTTGCCAAGAACACTTTTATGTTGAAAGACAAACACTTTTTTTCTATAATTTGTATTCCAAAAAAAAAATATTCATAAGTTTAGTCGTTATTAAATACATTTATCATTATAGTATTATTCGTGGTATTTTTTTTCAAGTACCTACCTACCTATACACATAACCGCTATGTGCATTTTAAAAATACAAAATTTTGTACGATCTTATAAGTAATAAAAAATAATTGAACGGTTAGGTAATTAACTTGCATTATTAGTTTATATTATATGTACCTACTTTAAAATACTATTTTTTACCTTTTCATATAAGTGTATACGCACTCGTACAACTTGTTTAATTATATGACTGTGAATACAGATTTATTAATTGAAACAAAAAAATTGTATTATGTAATTTAAAAAAAAAAATGTAATTAATGTTAATTAATTATAAACACATGGGCCTTATATAGAGTTTCATCAAATTATTTTCGTTTAAAAAAGTTAAATTGCTTTAAAATATATTTTTTTCTTGGTTGTAGTATTTGTGATTATAAATTCCATATGACTTCTCAAATCTTATATCTCAATGATTTGATTGGTTTACATTAGCTAATAATTATTTTGTATCTTAGGGAAAAATGGGCTATACGATATGCATTTTGACTGTATATACTACAGAGTAATAATTCTAGGTTAAAAATATTAAATAAATATTTTGTTATTCACACGCTGCTGGATATTAATTATGATACTTAGTACTTTTAATTCAATAAGTTTAATTAATAACTGAGTATTATACTCGAATGATAACCATTGTGTAAATGTTTTATACTGCAGCTGTCATTTGATTACCTCAAAACGTATGGGTCATTTGAAATAGTGAAAATATCTGATAATATTATAATATAATTAAACATTTGTTGCCAAAAATAGGTTTGTTTTTCAATTCTGGAGCCTATAAAAAACTTTTAGTAAACTACATAATTTTTGTAAAGTTAACATTATAAGAGATAAAAAAAATTTAACATTTCTTTGCTTGTGATAGTCTGTTTTAATGTCTTAAAAAATCAATTATTAATTACTGAACTAATTTAATGAAAATCAAAATTGATAATAAAATAGTCTAGTAATTTAATTTTAAAGATGAATTATTACGATCGATAAGAAAAATTATATCTGATAACGCATTAAATGACTTTAATTAGGCACTACTTTATAATAGTTAATAAAACAAGAGTATATAGTTGTACATTTTATTATATATAAGATATTTATGCCTGGGTCGGGCCAATAAGACAATCGTAGTCAGTTACCTAGTAATCCTAACCATTGAATTAAAAAAAAAAGTTTTTCTCGAAGATCCAAAATAAAATGATTACAAATATAATAATGAGTATTTGAAACTTAAGTTAAATAAAAAAAAGTTTCTACATAATAATATATTCTAAACATGTTAATAGCTACAATAGAGCTACATATCCATTTGATACAATTCGTATGAAAATAAGTTTTTTTTTATGCATTGACTTTTGAAAAATTGTATTTGATCAATTTTATACATTTTGTAACTTGTAATATGAAATCCAAGATTCAGTTGAATATTTATATAGCCTTTAGAGTTTTGAAAAATATTTATTTATTTTACAGTACATTAATTATTCTTCGTATTCTATATTTATCATCATAACAACTCTTTTTAATAGGTTTTAAAAATTA